GAGGGGCGTGCGCACTGCGGTGGCAAGGGCTCGCTTCACCATAGGCTCTGGGTCTGCCCCCGCTGCGCTGATGAGAGAGCCGAGGTTGCGGAAACTTCGGTCGTCGCCTCAGCTCAGTTGCGGAAAGCTACTCGGCCAACCTTTTCTGTCATGGGGTGTTCGCCCATGCCGATTACCTCCCTAGGCCCTGCCGTGAAGGGGCTGTCCAGTTTGCTTGGCACAAGGAAGTCCTGGCCGGCCCTCAGGGGCCAGAGGGGTCCAGGGGAGGGGACATTTTGGGCCACTTGTTCCTCGACGGCTCCTGCGACAGGCACATCATTAGCAAACTTAGCAGAGCTGCTTGGGCCGTCGCCATGCATGATGACACTGGAGTCCGCGGGCCTGTCGGGGCTCAGTATCCTCAGACTCCCCGAGCTGGTGAATTTGTAGCCGGAGGTATGGCTGACACGCTCGCCACACATGATCCCGTCCTTTATAGCGACTGCTGAAATGTGGTCAAACGCTCGCATCTCCCTCCCCCCGACCGTTCGTCGTGAAAACGCGCGCACAGCGTTATCATAATGGAACCAATGCGAGGGGAGGCCCCAAAATAGGTGAAGCAATTGAAGTCAAGGCCCACCACGGCTTGGAACAGTCAGGTCTGAGTGAGCGAGAACTTTCTTATTGTAGATGTAACAATGACGCGGACGCTGCTGCCAAACACGCCAGCAGATTCGACCCCGCGGACGGGAAGGGGATGGATGCCGCTGACAGGACGGTGGCCACTGCTATGGCTGTATGTAAATTAGCCGCCAAAATCTTGCTGATGTGGCCGCGGTTAGATCCCACTAGTGTTCCCACGGTGCCCGACGCACCTCCCCGTCTGTCCCATGACAAGCCTGGCCATGACTGGGTTGAATGGTCTGGACTTTGGAGGTGCCGAGTTTGGTTACTTGGTAGCAGGAGCGTTGACTGCCTGCCCCAGGAGCTTGCCCAGGTTGCAGTAAGCTGGACGAAGGAGTGCTCCTAGGTCTTGGTCACAAAGTTTTGGTTTTCCCGTGTTCAGATGGGCCCCACCTGTTTGTTTGCACGAGGTGCAGGTTTCACAGTGCTGGGGCCAGGATTGATGGCCATGGGTAAGTTGTGCAACGGTTGCCCATCCAGACAAGCCGAATATGATTGGATATACTTGTAGAACAAAAGAGAGCGCCCGAACCCCCGACGGAAGTCCGCGGTGGTCGACGTCTCTGCTGTCACTGGCCTTTTCGGCCCGGCGTCGAAGGGCCTAGCTGCGAGGTTTTTTGCTACCGAGGAGGAGGAGGAGGAGGAGGAGGAGGAGGAGGAGGATGAGGAGGAGGAGGTCCCCGCTTCCTCGGTTGACCCTCCCCCTTCCTTTGTGTGGTGGAGGAGGAAGCTAGCGGCAGGCGTCGGGCGGCTGCTGCCCAACGCCTGCTCGCGGCCGCCCGTGCGAATGTCCAGTCCTCCGAGCCCGCCGACCTTCGGAGTGATGGTTCGGCCGCTGCCTCGAGGACGGACTCTTCTTTCTGCCTTCATTCGGGCCAGTCGGCTCTCCAGGCCGCCTCCTCCTTCTTCAGGATGGCCCTGGTGTCTGCCGTTCGCGGGCCTCGTGCTCGTTTTTGTTTCACCTTTTTGCCCAATATGGGCTGGGAGAGGCCCAGCAGGTCGCCCTGCTGGAGCGCACTGCGCCGCCTGCCACACAGCTCGTGCACTTCAGGCAGTGAGGGCGCTGAGCCCCAAAAATCCTCCTCCTCTTCTTCTTCTTATGTTTCCACCTCCTCCTCATCCTCCTGCTCCTCTTCCTCCTCTTTTCATTCGTCCTCCTCCTCCTCCTCCTCCTCCTCCTCTCCCTCCTCCTTTTCCTCCTCCTCCTCCTCCTCTTCCTGGGACCCGCTTGGGAGCCTCTTGGTGCCCTTTTGGGGCTCTCTTGGGGCCTTCTGGGGGCCCTCTTGGACCGTCTTGGAGCCTTGTTGTGCCGTATGGGGGCCCTCTGGGGCCGTTTTCGGCCCCTTTGGGGGGCCTCTGGGGCTGCTTTGGCACGGTCTTTTGAGCCTAGTGGGCACGTTTGGGTGCCTTTTGGGATCGTTTTGCGACCCTTTGGGGCGCCTCTGGGCTGTTTTGGGTTGATATCTGGGGCCTCTTAGGCCGTCCGGGGCCCTTCTGGGATCGAGAAGGGGGGGCACCCGAACAAGCTGCAAAAACCCTCAGGACAACCCGAACACTGGCCATTAGACGTGTGCGCTCGGGCGTCGCCCCTCCCCTGGACCCCTCCCTAGGGGGCTTCGCCCGAACTCAACGTACACCACTCGTACGTCGCTTTTTCCGTCAGCTCCTCGAGCTCCGCGTCGAACTTGAGATCGGGTACCGTGTGTGAACCTACGCCGCCACCACTCGCAGTTGCGCCTCCGCCGCCTGCTGGAGATGGTCCGCGTGGAGGTTCAGCGGCAGCATCTTCACCGTTTGCGCCGTTGCCGCCGCCGAAGAGCCTTGCCCCGAGCCCGTCGTCATCGGCTATCTTGTGATCACCATCAGCGTTGGCGAAAGGAGGAGGACGAGCGGGTTGAGTAGGTTTCTGCGCTTTTCGGGAGAGGTCCCCTTGATAGAGTCTGAAGTGTTCTGATGCAAACAAAGCCGCGAGCGGTTCGTTGTCGGCAGGATCATCCGCGAGGTCGAGCGTGTCAAGTTGCGCAACCTTCGCTTGAGAAGCTGAAGAAGGCAAGGTCTCAACCAGCTCCTTACGCGACTGCTCCACCTCCTTGGTGTCCACAGTGTGCTGCGAATCGAGGCTGTCGAGCAACTCCTTCTGCACCCGTACCACTTCAATTTGGTCAAGCATTTGTGTTGCCAACTTCTCGCGCGGTGAGTTCAGCCAGCTGTAGCCGATGACCGATGTTCGTGTGTGCTGCGTGCTCGGGCTTGAGGCTGGACAGTTGTCTGCGCGACTCTTGCAACCGGAGGTCGAGAGCGTGCTTGGCGCCGCCGTTGCCGGGATCTTTGGCCCACCGAACGACGAGCCTGCTCCGAATGCATGGCCGTGTCACGGAGTATGTGGTCTTGATCCGTCGGCGGCGGCGGCCCCTGGCCGCCCCGAGCGCCAGTCGCGGTGGTGGGGCCGCCGCCGCCGCCGTCTGACACCAGCTTGCCATCGTCTCTCTGCAACTCTGCCAGTTGCTTGGCTCCGAGGCCCGAAAACCATCACGTCACTAATTTTGGTCCCCAGGGCCCACTGAGGCCCCAGGGGCCCCAGATTAGTGAAGTGATTTTTTTTCCCACGTAAGGACCCCGAAATTCATCACTTCATTAAGCCGAACCCAGGACGAAAGTCAGGGGCCGAATTGCTGCTGTGATGCAACATAGGTCTCGTAGGCGATGCTGGTTGGGTCAGTCTTGCCCCCGCTGCGAGGGCCGCCTGCGCCACCGCCAGACCGACGACGACCCCCGGCAGGATGGCGAGGTGCACTCCTTGGGCGTTGCGTAATGGAGGGGTCATAAATGGGGGGGTGGCGAGGGTGGTCCGAAAAGGTACCCAAACGGTACCTAAACGAGCCCCCTGGGGCTCTGGAGGGGCCCGAAAGGGGCACGAAAGGGGACCTTTTCTGACCCCCCCATTTGTGACCCCCCCATTAAGCAACGCCCAAACTCCTGGTGTTCTCACGGGCCGTCTTGGCAGCCTCGCTCGGCGCCGGCCGCCCGCACCTGCAGACCACGCGAGGCGCCCAGTTTGTCTGGAGCCCGCAGCCTCCGCACGACCAGACCGCGGTGCGCGGGTCCAGGGAGAACCTCGCCGCCGCCATCTGCTACGACATTATGATTGTTCCCGTGGGAGCGGATGTGCTATGTCTCGAGGTCCGTAGATGTTGCTCCCGCAGGTGTTTACTGACAGCTGCGAGGGGAACCCTTGGATGCGGGAAAAGCCACAATGGCTCGAAGGAGCGGTTGCCGCTCTGAAGACAGCTCCTTCAAGCCCACCTGGGACAGAACGGCTGGAGAGGAGGAGGAGGAGGAGGAGGAGGAGGAGGAGGAGGAGGAGGAGGAGGAGGAGGAGGAGAGACGACAGCAACGGTAGCAACGTCTTTGGTGGGAGAGGCAAAGAGGGAGGGAGAGACACAGGAAGACGACGAGGAAGTGGATGGGAGTGGGAGGGGGGAGCAGCAGCAGCAGCAGCAGCACAAGAGAAGCTTGAGGAAGAGGAGGCGGAGGGCGGAGGAGTGGGGGAGGAGGGACAGCTTGTGCGCATATATACCGTGCGGGCATGTAGCACGCCGAACAGAGGCGCTTGCCATGTAAAGGAGGGGATGGTGAATGGGAGTGGCGAAGAGGGGCATATGGAATGGATGGAATGCAGGGGGCACACTGGGTGCACTTCGAGTATATTACGTGGGTGAGCTGACAGCAGATTCATGCCACAGGGCGCCGCCATGTCTCCGCTGTCCTATGACTCGTCTTCTTTTGAGCCCTCGCTGCTCCGTATTGGTCTCTATGATTCGTGTATTCATGTTGTAACTTCACAGCGGGTCTGCCTATGTGTTGCAATGATGGCGTGTGTCGTTCGTCACGCAACCTCGTTGTGTTTGCGGTCTTCAGACCTTTGGAAATCATTAGTGTTTCGGAGTGTGCCGATCTATCCGAGTCGCTCGTCTAAGCTACATCGTAATTTCGCCACGCAGTTCTCTGAACCAGAACCTGTCGTGTGCCCGTCAACACACATCTGGCGACACGCCAGTCGCTCACGAGAGCCAACCAGAGCGCCAGCACTGCCGAGTTCGAGGCGGGGCCAGGGCAGGGAGCCGCTGTTTAGCAGGCAGAGCACCGTGTGGGACCTCTGAGAGACGGGGCCCAGGCCGGGCACGACGCCCTCGGCCAGGCAGGTCGCAGCAGAGGGGGCGCGAGGACGGGGGGGGACGGCGGGAGGAGGCGGCGGCGAGGGACGCGGGCCAGTGTCCAACGTCAGGGGGGGGAGGGGCGTCGGGGGGGGGAGGCATCGGCCCTCCCCTCGCCCACAGGTCGCCGCGGGAGGCCCGAGAGCCGCACGCCGCCCAGGACCGCGCGGGATCGCCACCGAGGGGCCATCGCCGATCCATCGGCGGGGCAGGGCCGATTCCAGGGCGGTGCTTCCCCGCAGAGTCGTCCCCGCCGAACGTTGCCCCCCGCACAGGAGAGTGGAGGACGGCGGGTCCCAGAGCGGGCGCTCGCGACAAAGAGGGCGGGCCTGCTTGCTATTCGCAGAACTGCAGCGCGGGAGCGTTGCGGGTTTTGCAGCGGGGCAGGGTGTCAACAGGGCGTCGGGAGGTCGCCCAGCGCCAGATGTCGAGGAAGCGAGTCAGGGGCAGCGGTGAGGGGGCGATCGGCTCAGGGGGGAACGCATCGGCCCCCAATCGCCCACTGATCGCCGATGTGGTCCGATAGCCCGCACCGTCCAGGGACGCTCGGATTTGCTTTTTGGGGGCCCATCGCCGATCTAGCTGCGATGTATCGCTGATTTGTTTGGGGGTCGATGGTTCCCCCGATGAGCCAGTTCCCCCCCCCCTAACGTTCTCCCTGATCTGGAGGTCGCTCATCGACGCATTTCGAGGATGCGAGTGCAGGGGGGATGTAGGATTCACGTCGGTTCTCCGACACTGCGGAAGCCCGGATCTCCGACGATCTGGTCTGTTCAATCCAGGCGGTTTTCTAGATTTTTGCCCCACTGGGCCCGTTGTCGGGGTCCAGGAGCACCAACGAATAATGTGTGACGCAAAATTGCCCCCCAGGGAAGGGGTCTGGAGCTTCTGAACCGCGGATTGAGAGTACCAGATCCGAGTATGTCTGGGTTCAGGTCGGTCCTCTGGTTGCGGACTTCAGGCTTGCCGACGACATTACCCGGTCAAGACGCGGCAGTTGCTCTTGGTCTGTGGCTTGCCCGTCCTTCTCTGCTGGCAGGAATATATAATTTCTGCATCAGTTCGGAGCGGCGTATTGCTGCGTCTGAGGCGTGGTGTATGCAAGACGCTCAAAACATCGCAGATGATATCGCGCGTCTTCAGCCAAAGCAGCAACGCAACCGATGATCGCAAGAGAGTCACTTACGGACTTGCTCAAGCGTGTCATCGATATTGTTAGAAGAATGTAGTACAGGACACGCTGACAACCACAATATGTACGACATCGTCGGCTTGCGAACGCATGGCCGTCAATCCGTAACCAGACAGTTCTCATGTATTCGAGTCAACAGTTTGCAATTCAGAGTGAATTGGGGAGGGATAAGCTCCATGCGAGTCCATGTAATCTTTTGTGCATTGGCAGATTGCCTGATATATCGCAAACAAGGAGCTGGACCTGAATGAGCGTTTGTTGCACGTTGTCCTCCCCATCATTGATCCATCCTCCGCACTCAAGCAACCCTACAATCATCTAAGAGCATTCTAGATTCCTCCCACGCGATTCGTCTAGTACTTCTCTTTGCTGCAGGTTGAGCTGCAAGCCTGGAGTGGAGTGTGCGAGGCCGACTCGGGGACTCACTGAACTTCTTGAGATCGCAGGCTCATACTTCTCAATGCTTCGCGTGACCTCACCAGCCCATCCAGAATGAGTGTTTGGGCGATCTGCCGTTTGCGAGCCATCGCGCGAGCATCGAGGACACAGTGGGGCGGACAGGAGTCGAACCACGGGGGAGCAGCAGCGCATCCGTGCCCATGTTGGCTCATGCACAACTTTTGGCTCGCGCTGCGGCCGAGCCCTGCGCGCGCGCGGGGAGGCGTGCCTCCGCGCGCCCTCGGGCGGCCCCGGCCCTGCCCTCCCAGCGGCCTGGGGCCTCGGGCCTCTGCCAGCGCAGGCGGCGTCACGCGCATGGCTTCGAGGCTGGCCGACGTGCGAGGGGGCCCGGGCAGGCTCGACCCCCCCCACACGAACTCGCACGCCGCGAAGCTGAGCAGGCTGGCGGAGGGCATCTCATGGAGCGAGTGGTGCATGTACGGGGTGGAGAAGTTCCTGAGCATCAGCAACAAGGCGCTCTTCTACCTCCTGCTCTGCGTCCTGGTGTGCCTGTCGCTGGTTCTGGGCGTTGCCTGGTACTGGCTGCAGTCGGAGGACGAAGACCTGGCAGATGGTGACAAAACGTTCGCCATGTCGCTGTTCATTGCTTTCCAGGTCATCTGTTCTGGGGGCTTCACTCGCGAAGCCAAAACAGTAGGAGCTGTGGTTGCCTACGCTACAATGCTCTTGGCGGGCGTCATTGTGTTCGCCCTGCTCATCGGCATGATCACCGAGGCTTTCGACACGATGCTTGTCCACATCCGCTCGGGCAAGCTCAAGGCCGTCGAAAGAGACCACACATTGGTACTAGGGTGGAATGAGAGCACAGCTCGTCTGATTTGCCAGCTCTCCTTCTGCAGGCGTCAGTTCCAACAGATGAATGAGTCATGGGATAAGAAAATATTCTGGTGGCGACGGGTGAAACCAACCACCTCCGTCGCGAAGGGTGTAATTGTTATCCTGTGTAACAGCCTTTCCAAAGAGGAAATGGAGCAAAAGTTGCATACCGCATTTATGGAGCGGGGGATTCAGAGGAAGCGAACTAGGCTGGGCTACCATGTGGTATGCCGTGTGGGAGATCCCAGTAGTGTTCAGAGTTTGCACTACGTTGGCGCGCAGCGAGCCAGGGCGATAATTGTCCAGCATCCTGACGGCATGGAATTTACAGAGTCCGAGGGTAGGATGGTCCGCACGTTGTTGGCGCTGCGGAACGTGCTTCTCACGTGCGAGACGCAGCCGCAGTGGGACGATCTGCGCATCGTCGTGGAGATGGCCCGGCCGTCTGAAGTGGTGGAGGCAGCCAGGTTTGCTGGAGGCGGAAGCAGCAGCACCCTCGTGTATCTCCAGCAGGTCAACTTGTTCCTGAACCATCTTCTCTTTTCGACTCTCGGCCAGCCAGGCCTGGCAGATGTACGGATGGAGCTGATGTGCTTCGAGGGCGCTTCTTTCAAGTTCCGGAAGGCATTTGAATTGAAGCTCGGGGGATGCACCGTTGGCGAAGCGACTCTCATGTGGGAGAACGCAGTTTTTATTGGTGTCCAGCGGGATTCGACACGAGACGCTGGCAGCGGCCTTTTGCCAAACATCGATATAATCATCGATCCCAATGATACCGTCATATTCTTCTGCCAATGGTCATTGCCGACCGTTCGAGACCAGACAACCGAAATGAGAAACTCATCTGCTGTGGCCTCGGCGCCAAGTCGACCCTCCCGAGCAAACCTCAACGGCACTACCGCAACTGATCGCACGACCGAGCTCCGCGTACTCATATGCGGCTGGAGGCCAGGCTGGAAAAAGCCAGAAGAGTTGATTCGAGTTCTTCATGAAATTATTCACGGCGTCTCGTGCAGGTTGTTTATCCATTTCATGTGCGACATTTCGAAAGAAGATTTTCATGCGCTCATGAAGAAAGTCCAGCAGGCGGCTTTCGGAAGCGCGAGCCCGGAAAAGAACAATATCAAAGAACTCGAGGGAAGTAAGCCCGGGGAGCCTGAGTGGACGTTCAACAGGACGTGCGAGATCGCGCATACGTATTGGGACGAGGTGCACTTCGAGGCGTTGAGGGACGTGGTCGCCAAGAGGCAGTTCCACGAGGCGGTGGTCATCCCGCGCTCTTCTGAGGACGGCGGGGAGTCTGAGTTAGACAAGAGGGATAATTGGCTTCTGAGCGTGATGCTGATGATTAAGCGTCTCCAGGCAGAGGCGAACCAGAAGCCAATGCACATCATCGCCGAGAACGCTCTGGACTCTACATCTAAGTTGACAGTGAACCTCCCTGGCCAGGAGGAGCAGATGGTACCTGACTTTGTCAACATGCTGGCAATCCGGGCGAGGGCGCTGTGTCAGGTGGCCGCGTACCCCAGGATGGGCTCCGTAATCGACGATCTCTGCTCCAAGCAGAGGGGCACGCCTTGCGTGATGCTGGTGCCGTCGGGCATGTTCGACCTCGATGGCCATCATGTCAGCTTCAGGCAGGCCACGGAGCGCGTACTAGAACTCCAGCCCCCGCAGTCTGAAGGTGGCAGGTTCGGTTTCAACGACGTCGTCCTCGGAGTGCGAACCGCACATGGCGTCCTGACGATGCCCCCGACACAGTCCGACATTCACTTGTACGAAGAGGGCGACGCGCTTGTCATCGTCACTCGCCGCGCAACGTCGAGGAGGGAATACGAGGACATGCTGCAGCAGCACTGCCTCCGCGAGCCTCCTGGCGCTGGCGGAGCTAAGGCCCGCGGGGCCCCGCGGAGCGCCCGCCAGAAAGGCCTGCACGCGGCCAAGGTCGGGTCCGAGTGAGGCGCCCGCGAGATGGAGGGGGAGCATCGACAAAAGACAAGATGGGGTGGAGCAACAGGATGCGCAGGAGGCAGGGGTCGATGGAGAACAAGTAACTGTTTTCTGTCTTCCCCGCCGCTCTTCGGCGAGGCACGGTGCGCGCCGGCGCAACACGGGCGAGGACACGCGTGAGGGCCGCGAGCCCTCCCACCTCTTCTCGGAGGCCTGGAGGTGGACACCGACGCCAATGTCGACGGTTTGCTCCCTCCGAGGGATGGCGATCCCGATCTCTTGCGATGGTGGCAATAGTCTGGCTTCCCAGGCGGCCGAAAGACCACCACTGGTATCAAAACGTGGGATCATCTCCCCCCCGTGGAGGCAATCCCCTGTGCTGGTGTTGGTGCCAATTTCCAAGCCTCCGACTCCTCGGCGTTCTCCAGACCCTCCATGCTCGATTTAAGTCGGGCGGGTCCCCCTACAGGGGGACTTCCGACGAAAAATAAGAAATACTAAAAAATAGAAAAGCTCCAAAATGGTAAAACAGATGCTCAAGAAATAGTCCCCAGAAACAGTCCCCAGACTATTTTGAGGACTACTTTTGAGTATTCAGAGGGACAGGCCCGAGTTACTGTTCGATCCCTCGGCCCTCCGCCTGCGGCCCTCGGCCCTTGGAGGGCCCCCTTGCGAGCGCGCGCTCGGCCCCAGCGCGCGGCGCCCGCCCTCCCGCTGGCTCGCGGTGGGCGGCCCCCGCGCGCCGCGCCGAGCTCGGCCCCCTCCTCCGCCGCCTCCTCCTCCCCT